ACTAGGAACTAATAACTAATTTCAGCATCACTGCTGAGCCCAACTCCAGTGTAGGCATTGGTTCAAAAGGGCAAAGGATAATGGATACAAATGGTGATAACTTCTTTAATTTTTTATTCATTGCCAATATAGACATCCCATTTTTCCATCCTACCAGATCTGCAGGGTGGTTTAATGACTATAAAAGTAGTATCCTCCATACTACTGTTCTTTTTGTATGTAAAACAGTGTCTCCCGCTATTAAAACAGTGCAAGCATGACTTTCAACTTAAATAGCTATGGTCAGTAGTGATCAGTGCTGTGATCAGAATGGTATCACAGCACTGGCACCAAATTTAATTGTCTTAGGGAAAAAAGGGCAACTAATTATCCATCGCCCCCAAAGCTGCCTGAAATAATCAGGTCTTAATCTGCTGTCTAAATCCAATTAATGAGGGTGTCAGGCCAGTCTCCCTCAGGAGGGTACTCCACAATTTAGGAGCTATGATCAAGAAGGCCAGTCACTGCATGTTGGCAGAAGAAGGTTAAAGAGTAAAGTCTCACCTTATCACCTGAGTGGATAGGTGAATATAGGACATGTCAGCCCTGGATTGTTTAGGGATTTAGAGGTCAGAACAATCACTCTGCATTCCAAAAGGAAGCCCATGAAGTTGACTTAAAGTTGGAGTAATATGCTTTATGTGAGCAGTCCTAATCAGTGGGATTCAGAAGGGCCAGTCTGGAATCCCCAATCAGGCAGTCGCACTGGGGTGGGAATAACCATGTATTTACCATTTAAGTGAATGAAGGTCTTAGGTTGCAATTATAAGCATGTGCAAACAGCATGGCTGACTGGGGCATGTTGGGAATTGTAGACCTGTTTTTGTTTTGAACAAGCATAGGACTTATTCCTATGTTACTAAAGGGTACTTGCTGCTCCTTGAGCATTTAGGAGTAGACCTGGATCCAAGAAAACACCAAGTTTTAAATTGGAAATTTGTATGTAGTCCTCGCCAAGGTTTAAAGTGGACCTGGGCCTTGAGCACATACCCGAGATCAATTGATCTTCCAACTATCAGAACCTCCACCTTCTGTTGATTACGTTTCAGGTTATTCACTCTAATCCAGCTCATTGCTAAATTCAACTTGTTATGTGAAAATAAGATGGAAACAAGGAAAGAAAAATAGAATAGATGCAAATCCAAAAATGCCTGAGAGGAACTGCCAATCTTCTGTCTTCTCTCCCATTCCATAGCAACACTTTGTTCCGTGAACAGTTTTGATGGTTGTTCTTCCTCATACAAAGTGTGCACTGCCAATTCTTTCTTTATGGTAGAAAAAGCCACTAATCCACCACATTTATTTTTATATGTAAAACAGTGTCCCCTGCTATTAAAACAATGCAAACATGACTACTAGCTTAAATAGCTCAAAGGTTTAAAGAGATCTTTTAAACTTTGTGAATGAATCTATCAAGAGAGCAGCTGCACTTAAGGCACTTTACAGTCTTCTGATAAAATCACAAATCCTGGGAGCCTCTCTCCAAATACCTCAAGTAATTCTCAGAAAGAGGCAAGGTTAAAACAGTCAGTGCAGAACAGAACACCTGCTGCTGCCTAACATTCAAATGAAAATTGTTTCTTTTCCCTGGTGTTTTGTTTTTTTTTTTTTTACTGTCATGTGACTATAATCTCTAAGTCTAGGAAAAAGACAGGTTTAGGTCTCAAGAGGGCTTAAAATATTAATGCAAACAACAGGCATGCTTTCTTGTGTTGTTTTATATCCATCCCACGCTAACTTGGTATTAATCTTCATGGGTTCCTCATGTATCTTTTCTCAGAAGTTAGACTTCTGTTGAATCAGTGCTATTGAGTTCCCAGACACACTGATGTGTCCACCAACATTACTGCATTGAAGGCTGCCACACAAAATGTGTTGGTTTGTGTACAAAAAGGAATACTTTAAGATGATCATGAAGGGAATCAAATATCAGGATCATGAAACAGCAGAGTGTCCTTGTTTTAAAGACATGAACCTATGAGTATGAGCGCATGTATTCAATGGTGGACATGGCACAATGCTGTAATTTTACAATGAGGTAAAAGCAAATGAAAAACAACACGGCGCATGCAGTGTGGGAACCATGCCACTTTCTCACTAAGCCTGCATGAGAAATTTGATTTAGAAACACTCTTCCTGTGCAACTTAAAGACACAAATATGCTGCTCTTTCATCTTAGAAAGTAAGCCAAACAAAATTGGGCAATTAAATGTCAAAGATAATATTGATATCATTGGTAATTGACTTGATCTCCATCCTGCTTTGAACATGAATGATGTACTAATGCAGGCAGGAAGATGTATGATCTGTCCATAAGTAGACACATGTGTGCTTCCTCTTCTGCTGAGGAAAAAGGTTTCATTCAGAAGATGGCTTCTAAGTGCATTCAAGTGAGGGCTCTTGAATGTGCATTGATCTGGAGAAACTATGCATAGGCAGACTTTGGGACTCTCCATGTAGTCCTTGTGTGTCTAGGTGAGTTCCTGCACCTGGCATCATGCCCTTAGTAGTGCTAAATAACCATTAGATGCCCAAGGTAGCACCTGTGAGCTACTTCTAAGCAGGCATGATTCCTGGTGCCTCTTTTGTTAGACAGGCCTTCCCCAGCCCAGCGGCATCCTGATGTTTTGGGCTACAGCCCCAAAATTCCTGGCCTGTGGTTGGGACTATGGTGAACTGAAGTCCAAACATCTAGAGGGCACCAGAATAGGGAAGGCTATCTTAGATATCCAGCACAGGGACAGCAGTGCTGGATAAGACCAAGGGTCTATTCAGGCCTGTATCCTGTTTCCCAGTATGGCCAACCAGATGCCTTCAGGAAGAAGCTTAGAAGGAGGGCAGTGAAGGCACTAAACCTGACTGAAGTGAGGAAGGGTGTCCTGTATCAGCTTGTTTTGAAAGGAAGAGGTCCAAGTGCTAACTGCCAGAAGGCATTCCATAGCTCTTCCATATTCTTTTCTTTAACAGTTTATATGGTAAAAAAAGATGGGAAAAGTGATGGGAAAACATAGGTAAGCTGCAAGAGGAAGGTGTCCTCCACTTGACTCCACATAAGCAGCCTGCATAGCTACAGTATGCATCAAGTTATACATGGAGCTAGCATGTCAAGTCGCCTTTGCTAAGCTTGAACCGTAAGGGTGTGCAGCCAGATGGGTGATCACATGAGAAAGCAGAGCGGGGAATTGGACCTGATGGCCTTACAGGCGCCTTCCAGCTCTACTATTCTATTCTAAAACTGTTGTTGTTACATTGAATTTATAGCCTGCCTTTCCTCTTGTGAGGAACCCAAGGAAGCTTACATAGGGTTATTTTCTCTTCTCAACAATAACTCTGCGAGGTAGGTTGGTCTGTGAGTCAGTGACTAGCCTAAATTCAGTCAGTGAGTTGCATGGTCAAGAGGGGACTACCCAGGTCCCCAGTCCAGTATTGGAACTAACACACGACATTGCCTTTCAGTTCTATAAAGGCAGGGCAATAGTGGGACAAAGTTCTGTTTTGAAGAACGCGGGATGTCTGGAATCAGCCACGGACTAGTTAGGGCTGAAGCTCGATCCCAGGACTGGCTCTGGCTGGGGAAATGGTTGGTGTTCCCGTAGTGCACTCGCACTAAAGACTCAGGCTAACCAGCTGCGCTTGCTGGCGGCTGTGGGCCTCCCTCTACTGGCTTGCCCCCCACAAAACACTTTCGCCAACCGAGGGCGGCGTCCCAACTGCAACAGCCCCTCGACAGAAATACCCCGGCCAGAGTTCTCTGCACTTCAGAAACGGCCATGTCCCGAAAACGAGCCCACGTGCAGATCTGAGCTGCGGTCAAACCGCTACCCCGAAGCCATCATTTTTCATTTTAGAAATTAATGGAAATGAAATTCGTCAGGGAAGCAGCAGCAAGACTTGAGGAATTACGTTCTTTAATTGCTCCAGAACGGGTGTGTGTGCGCGCGCGCGCGCGCGCGGTAGTGACTTGACAGCAGCAAAACCAACCCAGAGTCCCGTGGCGTCGTGAAAGATACAGCGATGAGCTTCCCGGCCCATGGAAGACTTAGGTTTGTCCTGATATTTAATTTGCATTTATTTGGGACTCGCTGGGACAGAAGGTCGCATGGGGGGCTCCTGAGGCGCGGGGGCGCTTATGCAACGAAGTCACGCCAAGTCTTGACTGGTGGCACCGGCTCCTCTTCCTCCTCCCTTCTCTCTCGCGCGCAGACACGCTCCCCGGGTGCCACACTCGGCCTGACACCGCCATTTCCAGCCCCTCTCGACTGCTCGTCCCGCCTCCCTCCCTCCCTCCCTCCAGCCGCGCTGCTTCCCCACTTCCAGGAGAGCGCTTCCTCCCGCCGCCGCCTCCTCTAAGCTCAGAGAAGCGGCGGCTTTCTGCTGTTTGCCTTGCGACCGCGGGGCGGCGGAGGGCGATGGCGGGGGAGGGGGAGGAGTGTGTGGGAGGGGGCAGCGCCTCGCTCATGAGTCCTCCTCGGCCACGCGGACGGCCGGGGCGGGGGGTTCTGGCGGGCGCGCGGGCTGCGACGATTGGGCGACTAGGACGGCTGGCTGGCTTGGGGCGGCGCTCGAGGCCGGGCCGGCGGTGCCAGTGCAGTGACCGCGCCTCGCCGCTACTGAGGCAACGGCGTCTCTCTTGCTCCGTGTGCAGCGCGCGCGGGCTGACCCTGATTGGAGGAAAGAGCAGTCCCCAAGCGGGCTGAGGGGCAGCCGCGGCAGCCTGTCCTCCTCCTCCCCCCCCCCGCCCGCCCGCCCGCCCGCCGGAGCTGCTTCGCTTGCCCGCCCGCCCCGCTTCCCCATCCACCGCAGCGCGAAGGGACAGTGGTCCAGAGCGCCTGCCCCTGCGCCCTCCGCGCCGCGGCCGGCGACCGCCCGCGAGGAGAGGATGCCGCCGCTGTAGTGCTCGGAGCGTCGCTTGGCTCACGGCTCCCCATGTTCTTGCCGCCGCTTCTGAGGCCGGACAGAGGATGCTTCCCTGGTCGGTGGGGGTCTGCGACCAGGCGATCGGCGGCCGCTGCCTTTCCTCCCGTTCGGGCCGTTGGGGCTCCCCCTGCCGCAGCTGTTAGCTCCTCGGGCGAGCTATGACTTCAAAGCACCAGGCGGACTGGATCCCTTACAGGTACGCCTCCGCAGGCGCCGGGGCTTGCGCGCGCTCGTCCCCCCTCGCCGCATCTTCGTTGCTGCTGGAGAGGCAGGTCAGATCCAGGCAAGCAGCCCACCTTCGGCGAAGTTTTATTTTAAGGCGTAGTCAGGAGTGCTTCCTTTCTTTTGAAGTATGAAATAAACGTCTGCGCGGCTGTGGGAGCTGAGGAAGAGCGACCCAGCAAAGGAGAGTAGTTAGTTATTAAGTGCAGACCGCCTCCTTGTAGGAAGAAGGGTTCCCTGTATAAAAGAAGTGTTAGTCTTGTTCATTAAGTCTTATCAATTTGGGTATGTTGCTCGCACGGGCATCACATCACCATCATATTAAAACATTCTTCTTTAAAACATGGATAACACTTCAAGACATCTATAACTATTTTTAAGGTGATTCTACATTCCAGTCTGGGCTTTGGGAAGTGTCAGAAAAATTCTTTGTTTTCAGGGCTGAAACATGGAGTCAACAGGATCACAGTCTTTGTATAGTTGTTACAGGGATTTTAGTGTGTTAGATCCCAGCATTTTTCTCTAGTCACTCACAGGACTATTGGTGCAGAGTGCTGCCTTGAGCTGTTCCATTATCCATTGTTATAATCCATTTATATCGATCTCTAGTACATAGATGTGTCTTCTGTTTTTGCGTAACTTTAGTTCTATACTGGGCATTGCTATGATATCTTAATAATTTGTTCTGCACTATAACATCTCTGGCAGTTGTGAAACTTGCTTTTCATTAAGTCTTCAATTGAATGCTTCTTTACAATGATAAGCCTGCAGTATTTACAGACATCCGAAAGAAGATCTTTCAGAGATGCAGCCTTGATGTGAATGTAGGATCCTTGTTAACTCTTGTTTCCAGTGAATTGCAGGGGCTGACATTTGCCCTGTATCTGGAGTGCAGTTCTGCTTTACAGTCTTCTTAAGGAGACTTCACACAAGACTAATTTCTACATTTAAGTGACTGCATGTTGTAAATTGCCTGAAACCTGTCTGATGTTAGTGGCAGGTAGTAAATGCATAGACATCTTGCTACAGACACAGGACAGTCATCCCACATACTAGATGCACACAGATTTCATGCAATTTCCTAAGTGTAACTGATGTCTGGAATCTAGGAAGCTGCCTTTTATTGACTGGGTTCACTCAATGTGATAAGCAAAGGGTGGTTACTGAGGAGCTGCCTGGTAGATTCTGGTAGATTCAGCCAACATGACAAGTAACCCCAGTTTATAAATCACCATGGTTTACTGTGTTGTGTGAACCTAGTCGATGAGTCAGATTCTTGGTTTGGTTTCAGGTAGTTTTTCCTTACTTACCTGGAGATGCCAGTAATTAAACCGGGGACCTTCTCCGTACAAAGCACATATTCTGTCACCGAGCTGCGTCTTCTCTGTAGAACAAGTCTTGTATTGAGTATCCCTACTTAGCAAAATGGAACTGAATTCCAGGCATGGGGCAGGATCTTGACCTTTCTATGTCAGAAATGAATGAATGAATGAATGACTGAAGCATCCTTTACTAAATGAAGAGAACTAGAAACCAGGAATGTACAGTTGGGGAAGGAATAGGAATTGTAGTTTTGAATTAAGCAGCCGGAATTTTGCATACAATTTTGCATATCAGTTTTCCATTGATAATTTCTAAACATGTTTTTGTAGTGTAGGTTTGGAAGAAAAAATGTGTGAGAGTGGGGAGAACACTGTAGCCTTTTGCATAAGGAACTGCAAATATTTCTTCTGCTTTCCCCCCCTTGCTCTGCTTTTGTCTACCTATCATCCCAAGTCCAGCATGGACCTTGTAGCAGGTTGGCAATCAGCATAGCTGATCTCTCAGATCTTCCTGCTGCTGCTTTTGCTACCATGGAGAAGAGTAGGGATCGCCATGGCAGCACTAGCTGCTGTGGTCTGTCATTGGCTCGTTGGTTGCCATAAGCTACCGATGCCACTGCTACTTCTTTTTGTGGGGAGGTGTGTGCGTCTGGGGAGCAGTACATGTTATCCTATACTTGAGCCCCTTGTTCATGCTGCCTGCTGATGAAGCAGGAACATAATGACGTGGCATGCGCTAGATCTGTTGTGGCCAGCTGCATGGTGGCTGTATATTAAGCCAGTGGCAAAGGGTGGCACATCCTTGTTCATGCCAGGAATCCAGGGGGAGTTTGTAGTTTGTAAAACTTTGAGAGCATAGTTTAATGGAGACATAATTATGCCAATAAACAAAGTTTTACAAGTTTGTGTTTATATTTGCTTTGTTTCCCACACTCTTATGGTAAATTTGATTTCCTCTTAAATTAGACTTACAGGTGTGACTGAGTACTTTGTTTGTGGGAAAACACAGCATTTGTGCTGAGATCTTTTTTGTTGCTCAGTTTGTCTGCCAGATAGAATTTCTCAGAGGAAAGCTGCCTCTTTGAACTACAGCACTGAAGAGGATTGCGCATCAATTGTTTATCTTTTATTTATTATCATTTATTTAATAGTCTAAAATACAGTACTAACATTCATCAATACAAATACAAAAATGCATCAATAATAACAAAAATGCAATTGTTAAAATGACTCTACTTGTATATTTTATCTGTTCATTCTTTTCTGAAAAATGTGATTTCATAATTACAGAATTACTTTGGCAATTTGTTTTAGGTTTTTAAATAACATAATTACAAGTTGGTTCATAGGCCTTTAATGTCCATGTGCTATTGAATAAATGTTCAGTTTGGCTGCTGTAAGGCCCTTTGCATAGGGCTACCTACGAAGATACTTCAGAAAGTTCAGTTGATTCAGAATGTAGCAGTAAAATTGGTGACTGGTATTGGTTGCTAGCATCAAAACTGCAGGAGCATTTATTTTCAGATGAATATTAGTCTTATGGTTTTTACCTGGTAAAGAATGGCTGTGCAGAGCCTTTACTGTGCCCCCTGTAGGTGCCCTGATCATGCTACCTACCTGTACTCCTCACTCCCTCCCCTGCTTCTTTATGCAAATTGTTATTTTCTAACCACTGCTAACCCTGCTAGTGCAAAAGGCATCTGTCAGAGTGTGTGTCTGCCAGAGTATTTGTCTGTGCATGTGCTGCCCCGTTTGCTGCATGTGGCCCTTGGGCCGAAAAATGTGTACCCCTGTTTTAAAGCAGTGTGCTGCCTTGAGTTCAGGATGCTTGATGGGTTGCTACTTCCATGTTGACAGAGGTCCAGCAGTGAACCTCTTCTGCAGGAACCACCTCTTTCAGAGGCTTGATACTCTCCTTGTTATGCTGAATTTACAGAATGTATTCATGTTGAAGATCTGAGGCCTTGACCTGCTTGGGTGGGGGGGGGGGGTTTTAGCTTTTTTGTTTTTTTTTTTAAAGGTGGTTTTTCACTTGGAGTGAGGGTTTGCTGTGTACTCTGGACCATTAAAATAACTTCTTCTAAATTGTTGTGTATTTTTCCTTAGGAGGTGTTGTTTTGATTTGTTTTTAATATTGTTCTTCATTATATAAACTTGATTGAATTTGACTTGAGGCAATTGAAATGACTCAAGCAACTAAATAAATGGTGATGAAAGAAAAATGTAACCTAAATTAAGCTTGCACTGACGTCAGGCAGCTTTTGTCATTGCTAGTTTTCTGTACAGTGTATACCAGTTCCTGTACAGAATGCATCCCAGACTGGGTTATATTTTATTTATTTAGAAACGCATTTAAAATATTTATACGTGATGTTTCCTGCCATGGCTCATGTGAAAAGGGGTTTTGAGTGCTGAATCATAACATTTAAAACATTTTTCATGTAGAGTAATTGAATAATATATATCTGTACAACATCTTAGGGGAAAATACTTTTCCTCAAGCAGCACAGAATTTTATATATCACTTTATATAGCCATTTCAGTGGCAGCCCCCACAGGGAGAAGATGAACTCTAAATGCAAGGCAGACAAATTGGTTCTCAGCGTGTAGCAAAAATAAGTAGGGGATAATGAAAGCAAAGATTGTAACATGCTGGTATTTATTTTTCGTTTTAAAGGATGCATGTAAGACACAAGGTTCAGGGTATAGTATGAAGGCACAGCAACAACCTTGCTGAAATTAAAAAGTTTGAGTCTGGTAAATGCGTGGATAGGAGAGCACCTGGGAACTTTGCTACCTTGACCTTCGTGTGAGAAAGGCAAGATATTACTAAATAATCCTGTTAACTGGTAGTTACATAATGTCTGAGAAGACAGTAGTACCACTGACTCCTGCAGAATATTTTTTTGCCATGTGTAGGTCAGGCAGCAAAGGACTCCAGTCTCGTTCTCGCGGTCACTCTAAGGCAGCCCTCTCCAAACCGTTGTCCTTCAGATGTTTTGATCAGCTCCAGTCGGCATGGCCAGTGGTTAAGAATGCTCAGTCAAAAACAGCTGAAGCATCCCTGGTTGGGATTGCTGCTCTAATGGATTTTTCAAAGATGGCAGTTGGGGCCAAGTAACAACTATGGCCTCACTTAAGCAGCCAAGACTTTGCAAATGGCTTCACGATATGCACAAATAGGACAATATTGCGTCGCCTTTCTCTTTTGTCCTCCCTATGATCTGCACTTCAAAGTCAGGGAGCTGCAAGTGATGGTTCCTATTACTTGCCTCTCTCTGCTCTCTGTCACTGTTCCTCCCTTTCAAAATGAATGTGCCTTTCAGCAAATCAGCCTTAGATGACTTAAAAACTAATGCAGTTTTCTTCTTTTCAGCATGTAAGAAATTAAGCTAAATATAATCTAAATCTAAAACTTTTTAAAAGAAAATATGGATTCTTTCTCCATTTTAGTTCATGAAAGGCCATATTCGAAGTGACGCCATACATGCTTAAAGTCTGAGCCACAAAATGCAATGTCTGAAATAAAAAGCCCTTGCAGCTTGTTCTGCACAGCCAGGTCTCTGTGCACGTGCTTGTATTTCTTCACTATCACCCTCCTTCTACTTTGTGCCTCGCAGGAAGTGGCATTTGCAATTGAAGGGATTGTTCA